AGAGAGAGAGAGAGAGAGTGGTGTGGCGGGTGAGAGAGGCTAAAGGTAGACGGGGGAGTGTGTGCCTGTGCGCGAACGTGTGCACGTTTGCGCGTGCGTGTGTGTGGGTGTGTGTTTTCAGAATAAAAACGACTAATGACTTCAAATAAAAATATTACAATGGGTTAAGGCCATGAGGGTCAATGTAAATAAATTAAAATAAATTCGCTAAAACAATGTATATTTAATCGCATCGCATGAAAGAATAAAAACGGCGATATCTTTAATAACATGTTTATAACCAGAATAAATCAGACCATTATTTCCTCTCATTCTCACATTTATACCTAATTTTTTTTAGTTAACATATCGCAACGTTTTTTCTTACCGTTTTATTCGGCCGTTTTACGATTCTAAGATGTCTAAACATCAGCGTTCATCTCTGCTGCCACTTTATATTTTTAATTTTAATTGTATAGCTTACCCTATTGTAATTTTGTTAATTAGACTGATTAACATGTATTAAAATGTATAACTATAATACGTTTTATATGTCTTTCTTTCTTTAATTATTTTAACTTATAACATTTATTACTTCATACTAAATATACTGGATTTTTTTATCTTTTACGCCGAAGATGTTTAAAGGAACTGTTCTAAACGTTTGTCTATTGTCTATTCCTATTTTCAGTATCTTATTTTAAAGATTTCTATTGTTTTATGCGATGTCAAATTTGCGATGTCAATTATTTATAGCAAACACATTTTAATGTATTTACTTTGACTCTCTTGGCCTTGACTTCCTGTAATTTTTCGAGATATTTAAGATTCTTATTTTACCTGGCGATTTTAAACAAAGCGCAAATGTGCGAAATGTATATTAGATGCACTGCTACAATAGTTACTATTGTACTGCAACCAACATAAAAAGTTAAGAACATATGCGTCAAAATAGCGAAAAAGTATGTTTCTTCGTCGACAAAGTATTCCAGAGTAATTATCAGTTGTAGCGGACGTGATTCATTCATTGGTATAAACACATCAAGTACACGGGGAAAACAACTTATTATAACTAATCCCAACGAAGTGCTCGTACTCGTAACTGAAGCAAATAAATCATGATAAAGTCAACATGTAGTGGACGTAGTATGAAAAGAGTAATATATTTTATATTTTACTAAAAAAGTATAAGAAATACAGAGAAAAAATACAACAGATATTAGATTAATACTATTGACATTAATCTAAACATGTTATTATTGTAAAAAATTTTACATAACTTTTTAAAACATTCGAATATAAATGATATGAATATAATGTGTAATGCTTATAAACTAAATTAACATTCACAAAAAATAATATACTAGGAAAAGGACTTGATTGATACGATTGACATTTGATTTTGTTTCTTACGAAAAATACAGATTATATAGAAGTTTGTTCCGTTTGCATATTTTCGTAAAACTTCCAATTCTGCCTGAGCTTTTAACATATTCCAATCGTATTGAATTCTATCGAAGATATATTTGATCTATGATCACAAATAAATTATTTTATTCTGTAAGTTTTTAGGGGAATTATGTGTCCTATGGGATACTTTTTTATATTTTCACGTAATTGTAATATTTTTTAATAATATTTAATTCAATATTTTTTAATTTATTAAATAATTATTGTATGTCATACGATGTTAAGTAAAATTGGAAATAGAAAAACTAAAATCGATAAAAAATATTATTTTAACAAAAAATTTGAATATGAACAGAATTTCAAATACTATAAAACCAAGTGAACACTTACGTTATCGTTGAGTAGCAGACATGTGTTATACGTCAGAATAGATACACAAGTCATAATAATATATGACAACATTTTAATAATACACACGATGCTGTACTGTTTTATAAATAATGGAATGCACTGAAAGCAGTAACCTTATTGAAAGATTATAGCAAAAATGTAAACAAACATTAATTTAAATAAAACTGTATTTATTTAATATTATAGGGACTTGTCAATTGTTATATCACAACGACTTGGCATAAACAGTTATTTAAATAAGTAAAATACATATGGAATAAGAAATTGAATACCTGACATATTAGGAAGGATATGAATAACGTTTGATAAAACATTATTTGTACTTTCTTGAAAGTTGAAATGTCATCAGGCCACAGACCGAGACTCGACAGAAGAATTCTACTCAGCTTATAATACCGTTCTCCACCCAAGTCCATCTTCCACGAAAGCTGAAATGCGTATGTCAGGCCTAACGCTGCAAACCTGTGTTTCCCCCTCCATGTATCGAATTTAGGTAGACGATAAATTTTTCTTTCTTAGACTCATAAGATAATTGTAAAGGTTCAATTTACCGTAGGATAAATAGCAGATGTAAAAAATGCATAAAGCACCGGCACGGGGGAAATAGGTGTGTGTAGCAAATAAAGACTAAATTTCCTCGATTTTCTCCCCCCTCGACTATAAAACGAATAAGTCAATAGAAATGGTATTACCAAAATTAGCAAAGTACATCGTATACTTTTTCTTTAAAAATAGATGTCTTTTTATGTCAAACACTATAAGTTTTACGGGTAACTATCACCATTTTATATTATTATACCTAACCATCACTTTATTATGATACGCGCATCGACTTTCTTCTACGTAAAATAGCAACACTTTTCATATTTTGTGTCTATTAATGAATTTAAAATTTGAATTAAAAAATTTGCATATAACAGTGCAGTAATGCAACCAATGTTTTGCAGAAGTGTGGAAAATTCAGATTATAACATGTGTCATTGTTCATGTATAAGGAGAAGGTACGTATTGATTACCTCTCCATTTCTTATTACCCTTTCAATGTGTGTTCAACAATGCACCGTTCCATTACTTCTCCAATCGGTAGATGTTGCTCTTTATTATTCCTGTTATCGCGATGATTGTTGTGTAACGATTCATCTAATTAGGAGAACTTCATCCTTCAGCTGAAAGAAATATCGATGCGCGTGGGGAATAGTGTCAAAGGCGCTTACAGAGTACAGCGGAAGTTTATGAAATTGTGCGTGACGCACGTACATGTGTAGCGTACTCACGTGCGTACATATAACTGTCGCTTATGGCTGCGTAATTCAGGTGTAAATTCGCACCCGAACGCCGCGCAGTGACACAGCGTGTCCCTATACTGAAAGAAGTATATACAAGTCTCTTGTAAGAGATGATTGGCTCCATAAGGTGGCGTATCTAGATCACGTTGAGGTTACCAATTTGAAAGCTCTCTGGTTCCGCAAGTTCGCTCGAAAAGAAGTCGACGAAACTTTTGAAACGACTTATATTTGTCGGTTTACAGTTTTTTGGATTAATTTTTCATGCCCGAATGCGCTTTGCAAAAATGTTAGTCAAGCTTGCGCTCTCTATAGGAGATGTGAGGTTTGGTTAGAGTGACCCAGATTGGGCCCTATTTCTCAGGAAGTAGTTTTTCCTCTTCCGAAATATCCTCTTCTCACGCGGACGCCTTGTTGAGTTTCCCTCGAGGTTGGCTAGTGAGTCTTTATTTGCACTCAGGCTATTGAAATGTTGAATCATGTGGGCGACATTAAATTGTAAGCATTACATATTTAGCGCTTCATCATATTATGTTATATTGAAAAAAATATTGAAAATAGATCATATTAAATATCTGCTCCGAAAAAGAGAAATTACATTGGGAAGATATGATTAGTTGATATTATTGTTAATAATGGAAAAGGAAGATAAAATGTAATCCAAAAACATGTCTTAATCTATGGCATAATAACAATAATTTTAAAAAATGTATTACATTATTATTTGGTTTGATTTAATTTATTACTGAATATGTAGAAAAGTACATGTAAAATGTACTGTACATATCCTAGACCTATAACTCGAATACCTAAAACGTAATTATTACTTCTTTTCGCTTTCGGTGTGTGTTCCCATGGATTGAAGAACCATAACATAGGATATGGACGTACTTAGAAGCTATAAATACTATGACTAATAAATATTTACAATCTCTTTCTGTCATTGAATTCATCAAAATTATATTACCGGCAATATTCCTTACCGTAGCAAAACCTTCTAACGACGCGTCAAATAAAACTCCAACTGTTAAAACACTGTGTTTGTTACTTCTTTGTATTATGAGTGGTATTAACTTTTGCATACATAATGGCGCAGCGTACCAATGTGCATTATATCTATTACATACACAAATACACATATACAGCAATTAATACAAATTAATATATTTGATTAAATGATATTATTAAATAATCAAATGTGTTTACTTACGTCGCTTGAGATATGGCAGTGCTGCTATCTATAATGTTCTGACCAACATAATTTCCCAGGAAAACGCAATATAATTCTATAAATATCACTGCACTGCTTAGAAATATTTCCAATTTTTCCCAGGATGTTAATGCATTAATTGCCTTGAATCGAATATTATTTATTAATTTTATAACTTCTGTAATTTTATATTTGTATATCATCATAATAAATAATTTTTTCCAATAAATGATATAATATTCTGTTCGTTTGCATTTACACTTACATTGCAGAAACTAAGACTCATCAAAGCCACAGAACATACTAATAACATGATATAGAACATCGAAAAACTGTTCGTTAGAATATTGGCTGAACTTTAACAACGAAATATGTATTAATTTTCATTCGTAAAAATAATATTTTGGCCTTGCGCTCAGCCTTTTTTGCAAGGATTTTTAGACATATTTAATTTAAAAAATGGCAGTTTATTAAATTCTGCTATTTTTAGCGTTGACGATTAGATGTTATAT